AAAAAAGCCGCTAGGGAAAAGAAACATCACATTTAAAGGAAAACCATCAGAATAATGGCAGATTTCTCTTCACAAAGTCAAGTCAAGAAGAGCATGGAGTAAAGTACTTCAAGTCTTGCAAGAAAACAAATTCCAACCCAGACTGAAATATCCTGCAAAACTCTCTTTCAAGTTTAATGGAGAAATGAAATACTTTCATCACAAAGAACAACTAAAGAATTTCATGGCAACAAAGCCAAGACTACAGAGACTACTAAAAGATATTCTAGAGAGGGATCAAAATGACCATAACTTCATGAATGAGAATGGAGAGAACCCACCAAGTAGGGCAAAAAATTAAACACAGGAGAAAAAGAGGTATACAACAGCAGTCTTTCAATTATTCTTTTTTATACAGAAGCAAAATATTTCCATCAGCATACTCTACAAATAGACTTCTGCACGCTATTGGTCATGATTCTGTCCAGGTCTATAGGGTGGATATCAAGGAAATAGCAATAGCTCAGTCCCACAAGTGACACCTGGCCACCAATAAGCATCATGGACACTGTCCACATCTACCAACATACTAGAACTTTATGTTATATTTTATCCCCAAACTTTTAGAAGTTCTGCTCATATATTTGCCATTCCAGTGTTTTTGTTATGTTTTATTCTTGGTAATTCTTTATTATCATGAAGACTTTTTCTTAGTTGATATTTTTATATTTATTAACCTAATCAAATACTATATGAGTACTCTGAATTGATCACAGATTCATACATGATACACTACATTCTGGCCTCTTAGTTGGATTCACAATTTAATTTTAATTTTTGAATATTATTTTGAAATATTTAATTTAGATTTAATTTTCTGAATATTGTTTAATTTTAATTTTTGTTTTATGATTTATACTGTTTCTTTGACTTTCAATCAACTTATAAGACATGGTATGGTATTTTCTCCTAGTATTAGAACCTTAAAAAATGTATTTCCATTTTCCATTGACTTTATATTAGTTTTTCTTTGTCTTTTACACACACACACACACACACACACACACACATGAAAAAATATGTATATAACCTGATATAAGATTGATACTGTTAGGACTGAGGAGATAGCTCAGTAGAATAAGCACTTGCCTGACAAGTACAAGGTCCTGAGTTCAATCCCCAGTACCAAAAAAAAAAAAAAAAAGATTGACACTGTTTTGTGGAAATCTTCAATAATGTTTTAAATGGGTTCATCTAATATAGTTATATTTTACATAGCCCTGTGTAACTATCATTTTGAGAGCTCTTTTATTCTTTATCTAGGACCATACAGCAACTTTTCTTGCCTTCTGGATTATGGTCTTTGTTATTTTCTATATGCTACGTCTGGAGGTATTAGAATATTTTGATTTTGTATAA